CGTTTCGCCACACAGTGGCTTCATCAGTCCAATACAAAGTAGAAATGGGTAAGGAGAGTAGAAGTATGAGGTAATCAGTCCCTCAACCTGGATACGATGTGTTCAGTCCATCACTCTTGTAGTAAGTGCAGCATAGGGCCAGAGAGGTGGCTTATATACTGCGGTGAGATGAGTTGAAGCAGCAGGAGGCGGGATCTTAGTGGGACCTGCCACAGAGTGTTTCCATTAATGGGGTCAAATCTGAATGGGGACTGGTCACTAGTGGCGTTCCACAAGGATCAGTTTTAGGCCCTCCTTTTTTCGTAATTTACATTAATGAACTTGATGAAGGAATTACAAGTGACATGAGCAAATTTGCTGATGATACAAAAATAAGCCGTATGATTCATTCTGAGGAGCATACCAGTGAACTCCAGGAGGATTTGGACAACTTAATGTTTTGGTCTGAAAAGTGGCAAATGAAATTCAGTGTGGACAAGTCCTAGTCCTTGGGAATGAAAATAATCCTCGAAGTTATAATCTAGGTGAAGTAGAGCTTGATCATACAGAATGTGAAAAGGACTTCGGAGTCATGGTAAGTAAAAATCTAAAGCCAAGACAACAGTGCCTAAGTGTGCACAAAATAAAGCTAACAGAGTACTAGGATTTATTTCAAGAAGTATAAGCAACAGAAATCCAAAAGTTATTTTACAGCTCTATACATCACTTGTGAGGCCTCATTTGGATTATGCCGCTCAGTTTTGGTCTTACTACAGGATGGATATAGATTCGTTGGAGAACATACAGAGAAGAATGACTAAAATTATTTATTTACTCTATAAGGAATCTCCCGTATGGAGATAGACTTAGAGCCTTGAATCTTCACTCTCTGGAGAGACGTAGAATGAGGGGAGATATCATCGAAGTGGATAATGGGTATAAACAAAGGAGATATTAATAAAATACCGAAGATATCAAACCATTTTGATGTTCATATCAAACCAGGTAAGAACCAGAAATAACGAATTAAAGTTAGATAAATTTAGATTCAGAAAGGACATAGGTAAGTAATGGTTTCCGAGCAGAGTTGTGGATGCGTGGAACAATCTTCCGAGTAGGGTGTTAAGAGGCTAGAACCTTGGGTGGTTTTAAAAAGAGACTGGACAAATATACGAGTGGGAGGGGCTGGGTTTGATTGGTGTCGTGGGTAAGGGAGTAAATTGTTGGGTAGCTTTGGGCAGTGGTGGTTTTGATAAGGACCTGCCTTGTATGGGCCAGTAAACTCCTCCTCTCCTTACACCTTTCTGCTTTGTATGGGACTAACGAAGCCACTGTGTGGCGAAACGTTTCTTCAATAAAGATTCCCATATGTTGCATAAGTGTCTCAATCGTCAATATTTCCCTTGTTTTGAATGTTCTCATTATCCATCCAATCATTTTTCCAGCTTGGACAACATTTGTCTTATTGTGTTCTCTACATATGTGTGCACTGACATTATTACAGCTGGGTCTCTTACACGTTCCTTTCATTCTATTTCTTTGTCTTTTGCCTTGGGAAATGTCTGTCCTGAGTATGACCGAGTTATGCTCATTTATTTGCGATCCCCCTCCTAACAATATAGTAATATTAAAAGCCTATTCTTGCACAGGAGACGTGGAGATCTGAACACTTCTTGTGCTGGTCAGTCACCGCGTTGCCAGATGTGTTCAGGCTGCTTATTTTAATTTCTTCATTAGTGTTTAAAATGTACATTTCTATAAGTGTATATAACCTAACCTACCTTAAAATAAGGAGAATGGTACAGTATCTGCAAGTTTACGAGGAATGTTCGGACACGTATGAAAAAAAGGTTAGGTCGTAAAATGAATACAATTTGTAAAACTCAAGCTAGTATAGCCCTTAGCTGCCCGCACTAGCCCTTATCTGCCAACAATAACCTTGTGTCCACATCAGCCCTCAGATGCCCGCACTATTCTTAGATGCCCGCAATAACTCTTAGTTGCCAGCACATTTCTATACCTTACACTAGACATTTCAGACTACTGGTACTAACACAAACAACCCTGATTAAGATATGCCCGGAGGATCCTGTCAAAGTCTTTCTTAAAAAAAAAGTGTGGGTAATTCCTGCAGTACATGACGAGAGGGTGATGAAAACTCTTGGACCCTCTACACTCACTGAGTTACATCTTACTGTACTTGTGGCACTCCTTGTTATTCACTGATGGGATAAGCACTTATTGAGAGCGGCGAGCTGTAGCTCCTGGTCCTGCTATTCATCTTTCTTGTTGTGTCAGCGGGCGCTGAGCTTCAGCTTCTAGAAATACTATTCACTTCACTCTACACTTCACTCCCACACCCCGACAACTCGCCCCACACCCTCACAACTCACCCCACACCCTCACAACTCACCCCACACCCTCACAACTCGCCCCACACCCTCACAAATCACCCCACACCCTCACAACTCACCCCACACCCTCACAAATCACCCCACCCTCACAACTCACCCCACACCCTCACAACTCACCCCACGCCCTCACAACTCACCCCACACCCTCACAACTCACCCCACACCCTCACAAATCACCCCACACCCTCACAAATCACCCCACACCCTCACAAATCACCCCACACCCTCACAACTCACCCCACCCTCACAACTCACCCCACCCCTCACAATCACCCCACACCCTCACAACTCACCCCACACCCTCAAACTCACCCTACACCCTCACAACTCACCCACACCCTCACAACTCGCCCACACCCTCACAACTCACCCCACACCCTCATAACTCACCCCACACCCTCATAACTCACCCCACACCCTCACAACTCACTCCACACCCTCACAACTCGCCCCACACCCTCATAACTCACCCCACACCCTCCTAATTCCTACATCATATCTCACTCCCATAACTCCAAGAAACTGAATAGTTTCTCCTTGTTGTGATCTGTGAAGGACCTGCCAAGTATGGCCCAATAGACCTGCTGCAGTGTTCCTCCTTTCTTATGTTCTGATGTTTTAGGGAAGACAAGTTTATACTGCCTGCCTGCCTGCCTGCCTGTCTGCCTGCCTGCCTGCCTGCCTGCCTGCCTGCCTGCCTGCCTGCCTGTCTGCCTGTCTGCCTGCCTGTCTGCCTGTCTGTCTGTCTGTCTGTCTGTCTGTGTCTGTCTCTACCTGACGATTACTGGAAGAAGGTTCCAAACTGGTTTTGTGCTAGGTTAGTTTCATTAATTTCTTATTCTTCCCCAGAGGACAGATTTTGCGTTACACACATGAAAATGACAATGAACACTTAAAAAAAATAAGCGGGGACTGGAACTGTGGTTCTTATATGCAGCAAGCCCAACTCAGCTTATAAAAGAACGATTTTTACAAAGAGCACAGAAGTGATGTTTGTAAAATCATCTTATGAGTTTCGTGGTTCGCTGGTGCAGGGTTGGGCCTGCTATAGGCTACGACCACAGTTTGAGTCTTCGTCCATTCTTCTTTTTTCCACCGACAGTCGTTCGTTACAACTTTTAGTGACTTTATGAAAATAAAAATGAAATTTATTTCCAAAAACTTTCAGGTGACATTCTTATATCCTCCGCGTAATTAATTTCAAAAAAAGAATTCACCATTTTGACACCTCTGTGAGAATGTGTTATACAGAATATAAGGTAAAGTTACTACGATTAACATATATGCAAAGCGCTAAACCTACATGCGAATCAATCAGTGCAAGGAGTGATGGTGTGGAGACTCCATCCTCCGTCTCTGACCTGTCAGGCTGCAGCATACTGGTATATTATATTTACGGGATGAGGGAAAAAAGGGTGAGCCCTGAAGCTCAAGGGTTGCAGAACGCACGGGAAATACGAGATATTCAGATCTGATACAACATAGGGGAGGGGAACTTCCCATTTCACAGGCATCAAAATCTTCACCCCCCTCCCCACCCACTCATTTTCCCTCTCTCCTATATATGTTGCTCCGCTCTGTGATGATGGAGACAACCTCATAAAAATTACATTTCTCCCGTGAATAGGAAAGGACATCCTGACATTTAAATTCCCAACAAGCAATAGTAACTGCAGCTCTGCTAGAAGGAAACCTTTGAAGCTGCCGTAGCTGATGAACCTTTAATGGAATACTTGATAATATTGTCATTGATCTACTGAAGTCTCCCAACTGATGAACCTTTAATGGTATATTTGACGATATCTTCACTGATCTACTGAAGTCTCCCAAATGACGAACCTTTAATGGAATACTTGACGATATCCTCACTGACCTACTGAAGTTTTCCAGCTCAGGCTGACACGTTTCAACACTATGTATGTGACCCATCGTGTGTGATGGAATATGAGAGAAATACTGCTGGATTTTGTTCTCATTGTGTAACTATCATATAGAATAGGGTAGCAGCACACTGCTGATGTATCCCATTTCGCTTAATATAAAAAATGTTAAGGTGACAGCAAGAGAATAACGGCGAAATCAGAGTAGAGCACTGCAGGAAACCTACTGGCCCATGGGACAAAATGTAAAGAGCTGAAGGTTACTTAGAAATACTGTGAAGCAGTAAAGATTACTTGAAAAATACTAAGCAACAGTGAAGATTACCTGGAAGTACTGAGCAGCAGTGAGGGTTACCTGGAAGTACTGAACAGCAGTGAGGGTTACCTGAAAGTACTGAGCAGCAGTGAAGGTTACCTGGAAGTACTGAGCAGCAGTGAGGGTTACCTGGAAGTACTGAGCAGCAGTGAGGGTTACCTGGAAGTACTGAACAGCAGTGAGGGTTACCTGGAAGTACTGAACAGCAGTGAGGGTTACCTGGAAGTACTGAACAGCAGTGAGGGTTACCTGGAAGTACTGAACAGCAGTGAGGGTTACCTGGAAGTACTGAGCAGCAGTGAGGGTTACCTGGAAGTACTGAACAGCAGCACTGAGTTACCTGAAAGTACTGAGCACCAGCAAGTGAGGGCTACCTGAAAGTACTGAGCAGCGGCAGCAAGTGAAAGTTACCTGGAAGTACTGTGAGCATGCTGAGAGGACCAGCTTGTGTGCCTGGTAGGTCCTCTGGTCCTCACATGCCAGGGTGACGTCGACCAGAGCAGCGTCCCGGTACAGAGAGCCCACCTCTGCCACAACAGTGGACTGGTGGTGTGTCCACCGCAGCTCATACCGCCTCACATCCATCTTATTTCTCTCATCTGAGGACAAACACAAACAACTATCAACAAGACATACTCACTAACATAGCAAGAAATTATTATTACTAAACAACACAAATTACCCTATATGCTGGTTATTGTGTTTTGTTCTAGTCCCGGTATTGTGTCTTTTTTTTTATTATTTCTCTCATTTTCTCTTTTTTTTCCTTTCTTTTGCTTCTTCTTCTTCAAGTTTATTTTAATTCCCATTTTTTTTTTGACTTGTGGTGAATAGATGATATACAGCCCTAATGACTCTAATGACCAGAGAGAGAGAGAGAGAGAGAGAGAGAGAGAGAGAGAGAGAGAGAGAGAGAGAGAGAGAGAGAGAGAGAGAGAGAGAGAGAGAGTACTCACCTAATTGTGGTTGCAGGGGTCGAGACTCAGCTCCTGGCCCCGCCTCTTCACTGATCGCTATTAGGTCCTCTCTCTGCTTCCTGAGCTGTCATACCTCGTCTTAAAGCTATGTATGGTTCCTGCCTCCACTACATCACTTGCTAGACTATTCCACTTCCTGACAACTCTATGACTGAAGAAATACTTCCTAACATCCATGTGACTCGTTTGAGTCTTCGGCTTCCAGTTGTGACCCCTTGTTTCTGTGTCCTCTCTCTGGAACATCCTGTTTCTCTCCACCTTATCTATTCCATGCAGTATTTTGTATGTCGTTATCATGTCTCTCCTGACCCTCCTGTTCTCCAGTGTCGTCAGTCCAATTTCCCTCAACCTTTCTTCGTAGGACATTCCCCTGAGCTCCGGGACTAGCCTTGTTCCAAACCTTTGTACTTTCTCTAACTTCTTGACGTGCTTGACCAGGTGTGGGTTCCAAACTGATGCTGCATACTCCAGTATGGGCCTGACGTACACAGTGTACAGTGTCTTGAACGGTTCCTTACTAAGGTATCGGAACGCTATTCTCAGGTTTGCCAGGCGCCCATATACTGCAGCAGTTATCTGGTTGATGTGTGCCTCCGGAGACGTGCTCGGTGTTATGGTCACCCCGAGATCTTTCTCGAGTGAGGTTTGCAGCCTTTGTCCACCTAGCCTAAACTGTCTGCGGTCTTCTTTCTTTCTGTGTGTGTGTGTGTGTGTGTGTGTGTGTGTGTGTGTGTGTACTCACCTAGTTGTACTCACCTAGTTGAGGTTGTGGGGGTCGAGTCCGAGCTCCTGGCCCCGCCTCTTCACTGATCGCTACTAGGTCACTCTCCCTGAGCCGTGAGCTTTATCATACCTCTGCTTAAAGCTATGTATGGATCCTGCCTCCACTACATCGCTTCCCAAACTATTCCACTTACTGACTACTCTGTGGCTGAAGAAATACTTCCTAACATCCCTGTGATTCATCTGTGTCTTCAGCTTCCAACTGTGTCCCCTTGTTACTGTGTCCAATCTCTGGAACATCCTGTCTTTGTCCACCTTGTCAATTCCTCTCAGTATTTTGTATGTCGTTATAATGTCCCCCCTATCTCTCCTGTCCTCCAGTGTCGTCAGGTTGATTTCCCTTAACCTCTCCTCGTAGGACATACCTCTTAGCTCTGGGACTAGTCTTGTTGCAAACCTTTGCACTTTCTCTAGTTTCTTCACGTGCTTGGCTAGGTGTGGGTTCCAAACTGGTGCCGCATACTCCAATATGGGCCTAACGTACACGGTGTACAGGGTCCTGAATGATTCCTTATTAAGATGTCGGAATGCTGTTCTGAGGTTTGCTAGGCGCCCATATGCTGCAGCAGTTATTTGGTTGATGTGCGCTTCAGGAGATGTGCCTGGTGTTATACTCACCCCAAGATCTTTTTCCTTGAGTGAGGTTTGTAGTCTCTGACCCCCTAAACTGTACTCCGTCTGCGGCCTTCTTTGCCCTTCCCCAATCTTCATGACTTTGCACTTGGTGGGATTGAACTCCAGGAGCCAATTGCTGGACCAGGTCTGCAGCCTGTCCAGATCCCTTTGTAGTTCTGCCTGGTCTTCGATCGAGTGAATTCTTCTCATCAACTTCACGTCATCTGCAAACAGGGACACCTCAGAGTCTATTCCTTCCGTCATGTCGTTCACAAATACCAGAAACAGCACTGGTCCTAGGACTGACCCCTGCGGGACCCCGCTGGTCACAGGTGCCCACTCTGACACCTCGCCACGTACCATGACTCGCTGCTGTCTTCCTGACAAGTATTCCCTGATCCATTGTAGTGCCTTCCCTGTGTGTGTGTGTGTGTGTGTGTGTGTGTGTGTGTGTGTGTGTGTGTGTGTGTGTGTGTGTGTGTGTGTGTGTGTGTGTGTACTCACCTAATTGTGCTCATCTAAGTGTGGTTGCAGGGGTAGATTCATAACTCCTGGCCCCGCCTCTTCACTGGTTGCTACTAGGTCCACTCCCTACTCCAAGAGCTTAATTATACCTCTTCTTAAAGCTATGTATGGATTCTGCCTCCACTACATCACTCTTCAGACTGTGTGTGTGTGTGTGTGTGTGTGTGTGTGTGTGTGTGTGTGTTTTTGGTGTGTGTGTGTGTGTGTTTTGTGTGAGAAGAGAGAGAGAGAGTGAAGAGGAGAGAGGAGAGAGAGAGAGAGAGAGACGAGAGAGAGAAGAGAGAGAGAGAGAGAGAGAGAGAGAGAGAGAGAGAGAGAGAGAAAAGAAGGAAATTAGATGGCAAAATGCCTAATGAGATTATTTGCAAATATACAATGTCGTGCCGCGGAACAAGTAAAACTTGCGATTTTGGGTTACATAGCAACGCTCTTCTTGCCGAATAATGCAAGCGAGAATTTGTGTATGCAATAATTTCGCAAAAATCATTTTGAACCTAACGACAAAAAAAAAATATTTCATTGTGTTCGTTTATTATTAAATTATTGTAAACTTATCTAAAATATATTTAGCTGGATTAGGATAAATTAAATTGCGCTTGTTATAATAAGGTTAGGTAAGTTTTCTAAGGTTCTTTTGGTACAAAATTATTAATTTTTACAATGACATAAATGAAAAAATGTATCCTTAATCGTATAAGAGAAAATTTTAGAAAGGACTTAATTTTAAATGAGTTCTTGCTAATTGACCAGTTTTACCTATTCGGCACGACATATATAATTAAATACAGGAAATAATTAATATGTAGAATAAAGTTGATGGCTACCAAACGAGAGAATATACACACGTACTGTACACACGTACTGTACACACACGAACTGTACACACACATGTACTGTACACACGAACTGTACACACACATGTACTGTACACACGTACTGTACACACACATGTACTGTACACACGTACTGTACACACGTACTGTACACACATGTACTGTACACGTACTGTACACACGCATGTACTGCACACACGAACTGTACACACACACATGTACTGTACACAATGTACTGTACACACACATGTGATGTACACATGTACTGTACACACACATGTACTGTACACACACGTGCTGTACACACGTACTGTACACACATATGTACTGTACACAGGTACTGTACACACGCATGTACTGTACACACACATGTACTGTACGCACATACTCTACACAGGTACTGTACACACGTACTGTACACACATGTACTGTACACACACATGTACTGTACACACATGTACTGTACACAATGTGCTGTACACACATGTGCTGTACACACGTACTGTACACACATGTGCTGTACACACGTACTGTGCACAGACATGTACTGCAAACACGTACTATACATACACACATGTACTGTACACACGTACTGTACACATATGTACTGTACACACGTACTGTACACACATGTACTGTACACACGCACTGTACACACACATGTACTGTACACACGTACTGTACACACACACACGTAATGTACACACATGTACTGTACGTATGTACTGTACACACACATGTACTGTACACACACATGTACTGTACACACACATGTACTGTACACACACATGTACTGTACACACACATGTACTGTACACACACATGTACTGTACACACACATGTACTGTACACACACATGTACTGTGCACACTCATGTACTAATGTACTGTACACACATGTACTGTACACACACATGTACTGTACACACACATGTACTGTGCACAAACATGTACTGTGCACACACATGTACTGTGCACACACATGTACTGTGCACACTCATGTACTGTACACACACATGTACTGTACACACACATGTACTGTGCACACACATGTACTGTGCACACACATGTACTGTACACACATGTACTGTACACACACATGTACTGTACACACACATGTACTGTACACACACATGTACTGTACACACACATGTACTGTGCACACTCATGTACTAATGTACTGTACACACATGTACTGTACACACACATGTACTGTGCACACATGTACTGTGCACACACATGTACTGTGCACACTCATGTACTGTACACACTCATGTACTAATGTACTGTACCACACATTTTACTGTACACCCCACATGTACTGTACACACACATGTACTGTACACACACATGTACTGTGCACACACATGTACTGTGCACACTCATGTACTGTGCACACTCATGTACTAATGTACTGTACACACATGTACTGTACACACACATGTACTGTACACATGTATTGTACACACACATGTACTGTACACACACATGTACTGATGTACTGTACACACATACTGTACACACACATGTACTGATGTACTGTACACACATGTACTGATGTACTGTACACACATGTATTATACACACACATGTACTGATGTACTGTACACGCATGTATTGTACACACACATGTACTGATGTACTGTACACACATGTATTTTTGGTTTAGAAAGACACGTAAGCAAACACTATAACATATTTATTAGAAAACGTCCCAGGACCGAAACGTTTTCTAATAAATATGTTATAGTGTTTGCTTACGTGTCTTTCTAAACCAACTTGTCGGTATTTATTACCAAGGTTTATACCACACATGTATTGTACACACACATATACTGTACACATGTACTGTTGTACTGTACACACA